GGCAAATATAAAGACAAAGAAAGAATCTTAAAGGCAGCAAGAGAGAGAGATAAAATTACCTACAAAGAAGTTCCCATTAAAATACCAACTGACTTCTCAAGAGAAATACTTCAGGACAAAAAAGTGTGGCATGAAGTACTTGAAATAATGAAAAGCAAGGGCCTAAATCTCAGACTACTATATCCAGCAAGGCTATCATTTAAAATCGGAAGTGAAATAAAAAGCTTTCCAGACAAAAAAATAAAAATAAAAAATAAGTGTATTACATGGATGTCAGGAAGGATGTTTCTCTTCCTCTCTAAAAATAAACTATTTAAATAATTTTTTTAAAAGACTATAAAAAATGTACTTTTCATCATCATAGACTGTGTTTTTGTCGCTCGAATGAATGTTATTATTTCTTCAAGGTTCTTCACACACGGACACCTTAAGAGATATCAAGTAGGCGTAACATGTTCTCAAAAAATTAGGGTTGGCACGCAGAAGAATTTCGAGTCAGAGATTTTGCTGGTTTTCGCACGCACTCACAAAAAGGTTGCCCACCCCGACTCTAAATCAATAAAAACATGTTTTAAAAGAACCTGCAGGGTCACTGGGCCGTGCAGACCGGCCTTTTACACACAAAGAGCAGAACCCGAGACGGCACCAGAGCCGCCCAGGACCCACCCGCCCCCTCGACCCGACTGCGGGTGCAGGTGAAGCAGGTGGAAGGCACCCAGAAGCCCCCGCACACCCCGCCCAGTAAACACAGAGCCTGCGGCCCACTCCCCTCAGCTCCACTCACCCCACAGCCCCGAGCCCAGCGTCCTCCGGGGTCTCAAAGGCTTCTTCTGAGTCAGAACTCCTGACGGAGAGAGAGGGGGAGACACAGGTCAGGCGGGGCCGGACACGGGGTGATGGCGGCCTCTGGGCCCGGGGGAACCAAGCTCCCTGCTGGCGCCACGCTCGGGACAACTCAAGGAAGGTCCCCGTGCAGCGAGGCTCCCGTGAGGGTCCCTGATCACGCCCCCCCCACCCCGCCGAGCACCCTGGCTTTGCCCACCAGCGCACACACCCTTCCCAGGACCCCAACATGATGGACAGACACATCAGAGCCACTGCAGACGGGATCCCAGGAGCCAAACCTGCAAACTATGGAATTCTGTGAGGAAGACTCATTCCCCGAACCCGACGGGCCCACAGCGCTTCCTGCAGGCGGACACCCCCGCGAAGGGCTGGCCGTCGCGGGCAGAGTGAATCGCTCCGGATAGCTCGGGTCCCGGGGCCCGTGTTTGCAGCGTCCGCTTCCCAGGATGAAGCTCAGGGCAGGCACACGGCTGAGCCAGGAGGAGTGAGAGTGGGGACCACCTCATGGCCCCTGGGTCGCCCGGCCCCACACCACACGCATCGGGAAACGCTGGGGAAATGACGGTGCTAACTGCCTCCTCCCGGGGCCTCCTTGAAGGACCAGCAGGCCGGGTCCCTGCTGCTGGCCACCGCCACCCACGGCCACCGCCACCCACGG